CTTATAGCGATGAGCTGATTACAACAAAAATTTACATAGTTAGGATTGTGATTACAACAATAATAAATAGAGATTTGTATTTATTTAAATACTCAATATTTTTTATAACAGAAACCAAGTAAATTAAAGTGGCCAACTTTAGATCAAGTTTAGAAAAATTCAAAAACTTTCATCAAAATTTCGAATTTTTTTATGTATTTTTTTCCACATTTTTGGGTATGCAGTTTTATAGTACATTTTAACATGAATAACATTGCGAAAATTAATAAAAAAATTAACATGTGAACACTTGTTTGAGTCACTGTATTTAAATAGGGCATTAAGGAGGGCTGGGAACTTATTTTTAGGCAAAAACATAAAATAATATTTTTTTTCTTATAAAATAAGCTGCGAAAGAGCGAAATATTAATGCTTATGTATTTGGTTAAAACGATGATAAGCAAAAGAAGTCAGTTATGAATAAGTTATCCATAAAAATCCGAAATATGCTAAAATATGCGTTTAACATTTTATGGATATGACGACAATGCTTACAATAGCAAATCACCTAAGCACTAAGAATTGAAGGCGAAAACTGAAACTGATTTTTAATTACCCAATTTATGTAGATTTTATGAAAATTATGTAGTTATAGTGAATAGCAGTGATACGTGCGTCGGCAGTGCGGCTTTGATATGTGTAAGTATTATACATAGATTAATACATACATATGTATATATGTAATTATATACTTAGTTGGCTGATGCTAGGCCTAAAAAATTACCACCGCAGCAGTGACTTGTTAGTTACATATGCGCTTGACTGAACAGAGACTAGTACGTACACTGGCGATCAAAAGTGCGTGCATGGTGTTTTTTGTTAAATATTTGCAATGTTTTTCAAATTAAAATTTGTTTGCTATTTTTTATAAAAACATGGTTCGTGCATTAATGAAAACATCAAATCATCTAAATCAATCTTTATACAGAATTTGGAAAAAACTCAACAAAATTCAACAAAATTTTTAACTTTTTAATCTGCATTTTTAGAAAAATATTTGAGTTGAAAAACCAACTTCTCGATGCCAATTTCCATAAAATCTTGCCCAATATAGTATCGAGATATACAAAATCGATTTCATACTCATGGAGGTGGGCTGCCATCTGTTAAAAAAATCAAATTCCACTGGAATTAAGGAAATTATTTGTTGAAAATTATATTAAAAAATGGATGTCAAAAGGCTTAAGCAAGTTAAAAAAAATTGTAGCTTAAAAATATTTTGGATAGGGTTACCACGTGTTTGAAAAGTCAAATTGAAATTAACTATTCGCAAGCTATCTGAAAAATTAAAATATGGGTGTCAAACGAAAGATTATTAAGAAACCTTCAAATTGAACATTTAGAATATTGCTGAGTTGTATTACAAGGGTTGCCACCTGTTTAAAAATTAAATTCAATTAATTTAAATGAATTACTACAATATGGGTACTAATCGAAAGGTGTTCGATAAAGGTTTTAGTTGGAAAATATTTCGAAGAAGAGGGTTGCCACGTGT